AATTCTCACTGCTAACATCTATCTCAGGCCACATCACGTTTGATGAGAAACGTTTAAAAATTCTGTGCAATTTCTTTTAACATGTTCTCAGCAGATAGTTCAAGGAAGAATTCATAGGTATCTAAGCAGAAATATTTTCCACCACGTGTATTACTTATGCCATTAAATAGAACACAATGGGACTGTCTATAAAATTACTGTGACGACGACCAGCTAAGTTCGTATCACACTCCCCCTACCAACAGAGATCGAAGCGATGCTGGAGACATTTTACCTTTGCCAACTGCAAGAGTGAGAGAAAACAGCAGATGAGAAAGAAATTAAAGTGAAATTAAATATATTAAAGAACAAAAGGAAAACTCCAGAAAGCATCTTTCTGCTAACACACAAACTATATTTCTTGGTGCCAAAGACCGGCTTGCACAAGTCACTCTTCTCCTGAACCAGTTTCTTCAACTGCCTAAGAATACCGACGCAATAATGCAGGCCTTTCTGGGGGGTGGGGGTGGGGGTGGGGAAGAGGAAACAGTAGTCAGATTTATTGGTCAAATTGACATAGAGTAAAATTCACCCTTTTTCAATATACAATTCTATAAATTTTGATAAGTGCTCACAGTTGTGTAACCACCAACAAAGACAGAGAAACTCTCATCACCCCCTAAACACTGAGGACCTTTAAGGCAGATTTCTCTCCCATATTTGCAGTTACACAAATGGCAGCTTTTCAGAGGAATGAAATGCATCCTCTCATGCCTTTTTCTTTTTTTTTCAAATCTCACCAAGTACTTGTGTCTTTTTAAAAAAGTATGAAAACCTCAATACAGCTGGAGAAAAAAAGAATGAGTGCTAAGGACACTGCTTTCTGCGTGTGACTGTCTCCACTTCCAGAAATGGGGGTGCATGAGTAGTGTTCTCTGCGCCGCCCAGAGGATGGGGAGTGGCAGCAGGAGGGCACAATGCGGGGGACCCTTAACAACTGGAACAAAACACCTTCCCGCAGAGCAGCGGTTGAGTGTGGCCTTCAGTCCCTGAGGTCAAAATCATTTTCCTTAGGGTACTAGGTCGGGCTTGTCCTGATGGTACAAAAGTCACAGTGGGAAGGACTCCTGGGGCCTCGAGGCAGCCAGACTGAGCAGGGCTCTGAGCTCCAGAGGCTGTCACCGTGCCCTTCACCACCACACACTCACGGAAAAACACGCGTTTCACTTAAGATTGTCTGCGATGCAGAAAAGTTACAATTTCATTGAATCTCGACGCTTGGGTAACGTACTCTGTTTCATGCGTGCACACACAGCCCGGTGCCGTGTGCAAAGTGGTGATGAACTCCTTTAGCTTTTTCTTGTCTGGGAAGCTCTTTATCCGTCCTTCGACTCTAAATGACAGCTTTGCTGAATAAAGTATTCTTAGTTGTAGATCTTGGGTTTTCATCACATTGAATATTTTGTGCCAAGCCTTTCTGTCCTGCATAGTTTCTTTTGAGAAATCAGCTGCCGGTCTTGTGGGTGTTCCCCTGTAGGTAACTATCTGCTTTTCTCTTGCTGCTTTTAAGCTTCTCTCTTTGTCTTTAACCTTTGGTATTTTAATTATGACATGTCTTAGTGTGGGCCTCCTTGAATTCATCTTTTTTGGGACTTGCTGAGTTTCCTGAG